AGTTGGTGACAGACCGGGGGTTAGATGCCACGTTTCCCAACTTTAAGGCTCAGGTTCTCGGCTCTTTCCCAGACCGGGATTGTGCGTTTGCGGAGGGCTGGAAACTGTGACTACTTGTTTCAACTTGAACCACCACCCTTGCTGCGGGTGCGGGTGGGTTACCTGTGGTCACGCCCCCACGGGCCTTGCTCTGGTTAGAGCTGGGGTGCAGCAGCTGTCCAGCTGCGCTGCGTGCACGTGTGCGCTAGGGGCTGCCCCGCCCCCGCCCCCCCCCCCCGCCCCCGCGGGTAAACTCCGGGCATCCATCAGTCTGTTAATTGCGCTAATTAGAGATCGTGGAGGTGTTAATTGGAAAACCCTGGTATTGTGCCTGTTTGGGGAAGAAAACGTCAATAAAAATTAATTGATGAGTTGGCAGGGCGGGCGGCGGGGGTTCGCGGCGAGGCGCAGGGTGTCGTGGCAAATGTTACGGCTCAGATTAAGCGATTGTTAATTAAAAAGCTACGGTAATTAATACTCCCTAGACCATATGTGCCCGCGGAAAAGGCACAAAGGTTTCTCGGCGTGTGGGGCTCCCCGCCCTTCCTCTCACCCAAAACACCCTAGTCCTTGGGTTCTCCTTTTAGCCTCAAGATGGGTAGAACTCGTCACTTCTGTCCTGGGAGGGGACCAGACCGACCAGGAAAGTTACTAGGAGGCGTCCCCTGTGGCATGCCCACCAGGGTTCTTCGAAGGGCCAGGAGCCTCAGGGGAAGTGGGAGCCCCCGGTGGCCCCACAGCCTCCCCCAGAGCGGAAGAGGAGGCTGCGGCTTTGACCCAGCTTCCTTCCTTTCTTTCTAAGGCGTCTGCGGGAACTTTGGGGCCTGGCTCAAGGCTCTGAGGTGCCCTGAGTCCCCAAGGGGTTCTCTGAGAGATGGGAGACTGGGGACCTGCCTAAAGATGGGACTAGAGCCCGAGAGAAATCCTTGACCACCTAAAACAATTCGGCCTCAGACACTTTCACTTGTCCCCAAGAGGTGGTAGAAGAGGGGTCAGGAAAGGCTGGGGTGGGTGCGGGATGAGGGCCTCAATTTTAGCGAATCCTAGAAAGACCTAATTCCCCCCTCCTGACATGCTGTATAAAGGAAGAAAGGCCAGCCAGGTGACTTGGGCAAGGGGTAGTGACTTGCCCAAAGTCACACAGCTGGCCCTTGAAACCCGATGGTCTCTTTCCTGGAGCTCTCTTCTTCTCCAGGTGTCAGCTCCTCTTTTCTGGGGAAATGGGTGACTGGGGGAGGAGTGTGTGGTGAGAGGGGGAGGGGCAGGAGTGAAGGGAGGAGAAAGCTCTTGGAGGGTGCCCCTCCACCCTGGTCCCAGAGGAAGCAGCTAAGGTCCACATAAGGTGGATCCCTTGGACAAGGGACCACAGCCGTGACTCTGATGGGCCATCAGGGGCTCCAACCAGCCATTAGAACACTGTGGCTTCATGTGCACATGCTGGACTAGGGAGTTTTACTCCTGGAAATTTCCAAGACCAAAAAGACTTCCAGGACCACCCCTTCATGTAGAGATGGGGAAACTGAGGCCCAAAGGAGGAAGATAGAGGATTCACAGCTGGTCGTGGCTGAGCCCAGGCCCCTGTCTTCTAGCCAGGGTCCAGGTTCTCAGGGCACTGCTATCAAGGCCTGCCTCCAGCACCACCAACTTCCCCCCCCCTACCCCACCCCCCGGGCCTGCCTGCCCCAGCCCCCAGAGTCTGCACACCCACAAGGTAGAGGACACCTCATTGCTATCGCAACACCCAGTGGAGAGATGGGCAGGAGGCGTGAGGCTACTGGTGTGCTCATCCTCAGAGGGCAGATGTCCCAGGGCAGGGAAGGTGAGGGTGTGGAGATGCCTGGGAAGATATGCAGGTTTGGGTGCGTGTTGGTGGGCGGGTGGGAGCAACGAAGGAGGTGAAAGCCCCAGGAGAGGGCAGAGCGTGCCACATGGGAATTAATGCCATTCATACACCCTGCGGAAATGACTTTTCAAATGCATATAATCTCAAGCATGCAAATGAGAGGCTTGCTTCACCCTGTTTAATATGAATGATCGGCCCTTGAATAGCTATTATTACACGCCACATTGCAGCAATTATGTTGTACACTGGGTGTCGCTCTGTACCCCCCCATAAAAAGACAGAAAAGAAAGGGACACCTCTGTTTGCAGCCTCATTCCTTTCTTCTCCCTTTTTCCAAACTTGCTGTCTGATCTACAACTTTATGGTGTGTGTGTGAGTGTTGGAAGGGGAGGCACTCTCCCTTACCCCAGGGAAGGAACTGCTGGATTCTCTTTCCTTTCTCCTGTGCACACACAGGCACCCCTGAGGCTCTGGTCTTTGTCCCCTGGGGCCCAGGAGTTCTCAGATCTCAGAAAAGCTAGACTTGGAATCAAGGCAGGCAGCTGCTCTCCACCCCCAGCAGGGCCAGGGTTGGGGGAGAGGGAGCAGAGTGGGCCCCTGCTGTCTCCCCATCCCCCTTATGTGTAGCTGAGCCCCAGGCCTGAGTGGGGGAAGGTGCTCTGTAGGCTGCTGCCAGGGATCAGGGTGGGTGGCTTGGAGGAGGGGGCTGGGGCCCTGTGCTCTGACGGGTGGAGGATGGCGCCCACCCCATTCATCATTTGGCAGCCACTGGCCCTCAGGCTGACATGGCTATTAAGGCCTGGGCCCAAGTGCTCAATCTCTTCCGAACCATCACCCCCAACCTCACCCTCGCCCTGGCCCACCTCCTCTTGGAACTCAGGAGTGGGAGCAGCAGCTGGGAGGTGGGCGGTGGAGGGATAAGCCCTTGGAAACACACAGACACGCACAAACATGGGATACCCTAGCAGCATACGGTCACCCAGGAGGCCACACAGATCAATCCATTACGACAAAGATACCTAGAGTCACAGACGGAGAGGGGCACAGGAGCAGCGATGTGGCACATGTGACTGTTGGGCTCCCCATGGACCCTTAACACCTCTCTGTCCCCGTCATGCGCCCCCAGACCCTCACACTCCTCCCAACAGAATCAGCAAGTTTTGGCCCAGCCAAGGCAGGGGGAAAGAGTTCTTCCGGAGTGAAGGGAGAGAATTTCCCTGGCAGGAGGGAGATGCTCTTGGGAGCGGCCACCTTGGGGAAGGAACTAGGGAAATGATTCAGCCTCTCTGGTCTGCTCATCCACTGCCTATTGGGAGACCCTGCGATCCTGGGTCTGCCTAGGCCAAAAGGGGATCAGAAAGGGAAAAAAGAACGAACGCTGGCTACCTTCCTAGGTCCCTTGATCTCTGCGTGATTTGGGCCAAGTCTTGGGCCTCCCAAAGCCTTAGAGTCCTCACCCTTACAAATAAGGCAGGTGGAGAAGGCATGGATTGGAGCTTACCTGCTGCAAGGTGGTTTTACACGCCCTGTTTTACTTACTCCTCGCAGGACTCCAAGAGGCTAAGATTAACTGCTCTACTACTGACAAGGAAACCAAAGTTTGGGGAGGTTTTTTTTTTTTTTTTTTAAGTTAATTTATTTAAGTAATCTGTGCACCCAACATGGGGCTCATACTCATGACCCAGAGATCAAAAGTCACATGCTCTTCTGACTGAGCCAGCCAGATGCCCTGAGGTTTAGGGAGTTTAAGACTCTGTCAAAGATCAGTGGTGGGTGCAGTGCAAAAACAATGAATACTGTTACGCTGAAAAGAAATAAAAAATTAAGAAAAAAAAAACGATCAGTGGTGGGTATCAGCCAGGTCCCTTTTGACTGCGATGCATGTTCCTGTCAAGGGGCTGTGGCTTCGGGGATAGCTGGGAAATGGGGACACTCCAGACTTGGAGAGCAGCGGGGTATACTAAAGGCCCCCATTTGCATCACAGTATGTGTGTTTGTGCATGCATGTGCGCGCGCCCATCCCCCCTCTTCCCCCAGCAGATGTTGGACCCTCCTTGAGTGATAGAAGGAATCTCAGGCCTTCTCCTGGCTACCTTTGACCGTTGCAAACATACCCTCTCTTTCTGGAATGCTTCCACACCTGGAGAAGCAGCTGGGGAGGGAGGGGAGGGCATAAGATTCAGGCCTTGACCCTTTGCCCTGAACTGTCTGGACCCTCAGTTTTTCTATCTGTAAAATATGGATGATAATAACTATCTCTCACCATCTTTGTGAGAAGGAATCATGGTGCTAATAGAAATAGTAAATGTTATGGAGTGTCTGCTTTTGGCCAGGGATTTAGAATGGCAGGTCAGAGAAGTGGAACCACTGGCTGCCTTCACCACCCAGCTCCAGGCCCATTTGAGTGGCTCCCAGTAGGTGCTGGGCAAAGGACAATCACATTTGTGGGACAAGTGTGGATTAGAGCCTTTCTGGGTCCCAGGGGAGGAGACCCTGTAAGGAGGCCCTGCCCTGGGGAAGTCTCTGTCTGTGGGGAACACACACAGAGGTCATTACTAGTTTGGCGGGTTGGGGGGCGCTCAGCAATATGTTTGGTCCCAGTGAATAGCTCCTCCGTGCTTTGCTAGCCTGGCGGGATGATATCCTAGCGGGATGATATCCTAGCGGGATGATATCCTAGCGGCATGCTAGCTTCCCCAATGTCCTAGCCTGGAGGGAGAGGCCAACACGAGGCGCGGGGGTGGGATTCCCTACCTCACCCTCCCCAGGAGCAAGGGTGAAGACATCACATCCTCCCCTTCCCGGCCAAAGTCTCCTGGAAGTCCGGAAAATGTGGGGGAGGAGGGCAGTGGGGCAGCCTCAGCTTCAGTCTGGAGCTGCCCCTTCCCCCAGCCTAGGGAGAGGATGACATCGGGAGGGGGCCGCACCCGGAAAGGGGTCCTAGGAGCCGCTTCGAGGAAGTTAAGGAGGAAGAGATGCCCTAGGATTGGGGGGCAGGGGGCTGTTAAGCGGTGGAGGTGTGTTGTTTGGGGGTAGAGGGGCTTGGGTGGCTGCCCCCGGTTGCCCGCGTCCCGTTTTGAGCCTCAGCCCCTCCCCCATGTCTCTCCTCCCCCTCCAGGTCCCGTTAGAGCGACATGATGGTGGAATCCGCCTCGGAGACAATCAGGTCGGCTCCCTCTGGCCAGAACGGCGTGGGCAGCATCTCCGGGCAGACCGATGGCGGTGGTGGCGGCGGCGGTGGGGCCGGGGCGGCGGGCACTGGCGGAAGCGGCCCAGGCAGGGACTCGGCGGCGGGCCCAGACAGCAACGGCGAGATGAGCCCGGCAGAGCTGCTGCACTTCCAGCAGCAACAGGTAGGAGCGGGCGCCCCTCCCTGGCAACCCCGAGGAGCAGAGGGGCTCGGCCTGGCCACTTCCCACTCTCTTTCTGGCGACATGGGTCCCAGGTTTCTGCCAAGCAGCCTCACTTGTAACCCTCTTGAAAAGATCCAGCCTCGAGGGACTCCCTCTGCGCCCTCCCACACCAGTGGCCATCCAAAGGCAGGGGGAGAGTGGCGCTCCCAGGAGAGAGAAGTGGGACCCAGGAGGCCCAGAGGTCAGGAAGCTTGGACCCATCTCAGGAATGTCCACAAAGACAGAGAGACTCCTGGAGAAGAGCGTAAGAATGTGTGTTTGCGCTCTCCTCCTGCACATTGGCTAAGTGAACAGGGTTGCAGGAGGGAGACCCCTTTCTAGGGTACATGTTCCTTGGAGGAAGGGGCTGTGTATACAGGGGTATCTTCACTTTCTTTGTTCTGTAAAATCTCCCCCACCGCCTTCGCTGCCTGGGCCCTATTCCAAGCTGTGAAGAAATTAAGCTTCCAGGCACCAGAGTCCAAAGCAGCTAGGAAAAGGCCAAGGGTAGGAGGCAACGGCAGGCCTCCATTTTTAGGGGTCAGGCTGGGAATCCCTATCTGCCTCCCCCTTCCCTTTCTCCCCCCTCCATCATTCCACCCTAAACTGCAGAGTTCAGGAGTTCAAGACCAGCCGCTAAAGTTTGAGAGGCCCTGGGGTGGGGATCCTGGTTGGTGATGACAGAGCAGGGGCCCCAGGTCCTGGCCCCACAGCCCCACCCCTGGAAAAAGGGAGAATCATGCTTGACAAGTTCAGGAGAACCGGCCCAGCCAGCCTTGGCCTTGGGATTCTCCTCTTATTTGATTGCTCCTCCGAGCTCACTGCTGGCACTGCCCCTTGGGGGCTCTGCTGGGAAGAGTCACGTCCCCACCCACATCCCCACCCCTGCTTCAAGTGTACACAGATGTGTATTCCCACCTTGCCCTGGTGTTCTCTCCCAGGCTCAACGTGGAGCTCCTCCCCCAACTCCATAAGCTCCTCAGCGGCCCTTTCCCACCACTCTCTGTGGAATGGAGGTCAGACTGGGAGTTGCACCATCCGAAGCCGGCACCCTGCCTGGAGCTGGTTAGCCACCATTAACACAGAAACTGAACCAACCCAAGTTAAGTCCCAGCCAGTCCCTTAACCAGCTGTGCAACCTTAGCGAGGTCCTGGGCCCCGCCCTGAGCCCTGGCCTCCTGGATGCCTAAAGCATAGGATTTTTAGGATCAGGTGCGATTTGAGCTTGAAGTCCACACACACAATGAGTGGCCCATGTAGATGCTCACAGAATTGAGGACTTCAGAAATCACTTCCTCTTACAGACCGTGGAGACCTGTCACCTTCCCCTGGGGAGATAGCCCTTGGGAGTTTGCTGGCATCTCCCAAGGCTTGCTAACAAGCAGGATCTCTGGGGAAGAGACCAGAGTTTGTGACATCTACTGGGGACAGAAGGTCAAAGGGCCACATCTGACCCTTATGAAAATAATAACAAGACACACCCACCAGAAATCTCCCCAGGCCACCCATTTTTTATAACCACCTCTTCCCTTCCGCCACCTCTGTGCACACAGGGCTAGGAAAGGTTTTGAATGTGGTGGGGGATGGGACGAACTCGGGAACTACTGACACTGGAAAGTGTCTTTTAAACAATTATTTTTCAACTGCAGGGTGAACACAGATTATCTGTAAACTGGGGACATGTGTGGGCTGGGGAGAGACAGAACTTTCTGTACTGGTCAGGTTTCTTCGCTCTGCATCACACACAAGCCATGTTTTGCCATCTATATTCCACGTTCAGGTTATTCCTGTTTGTTTTGGGGAGTATCCCAAAGTCCTGGAAAATCCTATATCTGTTTCACAAATAAACCGGGGTGGAGATTTGGAGGCAGGCAGAGGGCCGTTTTAGCCGTTTGGGCTCACTATAGGCCTGGGGCCTGGGGCCAAGGGAAATAGACTTAAAAAAGTTCTGTTGGCTCCGAACTCTGAAAGAACCCCCACAAAACTAAAATGATAAGTTTTTTCAATTAACAGGAAAGTCTGTGGCCCGTCCTTCTAGCCCCAGTCTATGAGCCAGGCTTTGGGGGAAGTTTCAGGGGTAACGCTTTCTGGTACCCCCCCAACAACAAATGTTCCTGACTATTGGTGGGGTAGATTAACTGTAGAAAAGAAAGCCTGGCCCAGTGGGTTCCTCCTTCCTCTGCTGGGCCTCAACCAGGAAGTACTTTGAGGACAAACAAACCAATAACCTTGCCTCCATTTGGTGCTTTGGGTCTTTCTCATACACGTGCCACTTAATCACCGTGCCAGCCCTGGGATGTGGGTGTTATGATTCCCATTCTGCAGATCAGGGGACACTGACTGGGCTTGGTGACATGGGGACAGCTGCAGCTAGAGCTCAGCACAGTCTCCTTTTGGCTGATCCCCTGTCACACAGTCCCCTATCGGAAATGGAAGGAGTGAGGCCTGGAACATAGCAGATGCTAAATAAACGTCCGTTGCTGAGTGCCTGAGAGCATTCCATCCCCAGCCCTAAAAGCTCTTAGACAAACGAAAACAACACAGCCCGCAGGCCCTAAGTAGCCACTCTAGAGGAGGGAGGTCGAGGGCAGGTGTGCAGGCTGTGCACTGTTCCCATTCCTCCTCCTCAGGCCTCCTTGGGCCTCCTTGGGCCTCCAAGCCCCTCTCCCTCTTCCCGTCTGCTGGTCTCTGTGCCTCCACTCTGGATAAACAAGCCCTGGAAATGCAGGCTTGGCCTTTGGGAGTAATGAGTTGACAGAGGGGAGGGAGATAAACAGGGCGAGTCAGAAGTCAGGCCAGTGACATGACTGGAGGCTGAGACAAACAGTGCTGAAGAGGGCAGCCGCATCACTTTGGAACAAGAGCAGGCACCGTTTCCATGCAACAGCAGGCCCGCGGCTTGTTCAAACAGAGGCTGGGGATGGGTGTGGGGGGGTCACATGGCTGGGCTGCCAGGCCCTGTCTGACCAGAGAGAGGGTCCCCACCTGGTTGTCCCCTTCTCCTAGCAGCCAAGGCCCTCGCCTCCGCCTCTCAAGCCCCTGTCTGCTGAGTGGCAGAGCCCCACCACCTCCACGCTGTCCTTAGGGCTTGCACCAGCTCTCCAGTCTCACGCCCTTATAGGGAACCGACTGTGGGAAGGCTCTCAGTGTAGGAGGCCTGGGAGTGTGCATTCATTCAGCAAACATGCCTGGAGCCTTATTTACACCGGGCTCCCTGCTGGCCAGCTGGAGCTGATGACCCCAGCTGCTATTCAAGAATACCTTAGACCCAGTAGACACGCCAGCTGTGCACCCATCCCCTTCCTTCACCCAGCAAAGTCTTCCTCATTGCTCCTTCTGCCCCTGTTTTCCCTCTGAGGTTTTTTCTTTGAAGGTTGTTCTTGCATCTTACCCTAATCTGATTTCACCTGGATGAAATGTCCCCAGGACGGGGGTGGGGGGGGGTTCCCCAGGGACAGCACAGAAACCCTTTGGGCTCTGATGGGGAGCAGTGAGGGTTGGGACAAGTGTGGGAGGCGGCGGGCCTCAAGAGGCCTTGGGGCCATGGCCTGGCCGCCCTGGCCCAGGGGGGCTGGGAGGGCTGAGCCGGCGGGGTGGGGGCTGCCAGAGCTGCTGGCGGCAGCGCTGAAAGGCGTCCTGGGCCTCTGGAGCCTGCACTTCCATTGTCCTCTGGTTTCGGGGGTGACAGGTCAGTGAGGGTCACAGGAGGGTTGCCTAGCGTCTGAGAACTCCCACTGCAGTTGCTGTGACAACCGGGGCCAAATCCCACCCTGTTCACATCCTGTGAGGACATTCAGAGGGGTTGGGGGGCTCTGCACATTAATGGGCTTTTAACTCACCCCCACCTAAGAGATGGGGGGGATGTCAGGGCACGGAGGAAAAGAAGAATGGAAGACATTTTTGTTCCCCTCCTGCGTCTGGCCCTCCTCTGCCCAAGCTACCTAGGGGGACGGGATGGGAAAAGGAGGCTTATGGGGTGAATTAGCACACATACGCCCACATCACACACACTGTCAACAGTGGTCTTTAGTCCTCAGGTTGGGGGACGATTTCTCCTTGGGGCTCATGCCCCCAGACCCTACTTACTCCTCCTCTCCAGTCTCACACCTTGTGGACTCTGCTCTTTTCTTTTAGTTAGGATGACACTCTCCCCAGGAGGTGCTGGGGACCTGGAGGGAGAATGGGGGCCCCAGCTCCCTGGAGGGGAGACTTAGGAACCTGTCTGTGAAGCCCTTGACTCCCAGCAGCTGCAGCATAGAGTGGACTTGCCACCACCAGGACATAGAGGGCTGGGAAGAAGGCCGCCACCCACGTTATAGGGGTCATGGGGGGAGAGGCCCTTAACTCCCCACGTCTTGTCCCAGTCCTGGGTTGCTAAGCCGAAGGCCACCCTTGTTTTATGTGTCTGTGTCAGGGCAGAGGCGGGTGGGAAAGGCAGAGGAGAGGCTCCGGGCCCAGGAAAAGGAACCCCCAGGGTCTTGCTTTGCTGGGACTAGGAGGGAGCCAGCCCACCTTACCCCCAGCCTTCCCTTCTGGTGTGGAATTCTGACACTCTCTCTCTCTCCCACCCCCATTTTATGCCAGGGTTCTTGTGGGTACCGATCTATCCAGAGCTTGGGGACGGGAGAATTTGGGGGAGGGGTGCCTGAATGTTTCCTCTTCTGAGTGTGAAAGGTTAAAGTGGGGAGGGCCACCCCTCAGCGGGTCAGTGGAAGGCCTTGATTCTGAGCAGCCCCAGGGGGATTCCTTGGGAAGGGATTGCCTGCCCCCACATGCACCACTCTGTGTCCCACACTTGAGTCTCCTGCAGAAGCACTAGCGTCAGGGTCATGGCTGGGCTCACAGTGGCTCTGGACCTGGAAAGAGACGTGCTTCTGGAGAGCCCACAGTAGCTGGCGGGCAGCTGAGGCAGGTCTGGGAGGTGCCCGAGCAAGCAGTGGCGGGGGGGGGGGGGACGACAG